CCACTTACTGGGGCCGAGGCAATGGGACAGAGTGACTGACGGTGCACTGGGGACGCAGAGGTTCCAGAGGGGCCAAAGTTCCTAGGCTCCGGGAGGGGCAGAGAGGGAGGCCCCAGAACTGAAGCTGTGCACACATTCCAGGGGATCAGAGGTGGGCTGGCCAGAGGGGAGCTGGCGGGCAAGCCTGCAGCCAGGGCTGAGGTTCCCAGGCCAGACCGGCCGAGCCGTGTGGACACCTCCAGAAGCAAACTGAAGCCACAGATGGGAGCTGAGCTGATAGCAGCTGCGGGGAGGGTCAGGGAAGAGGAGCATCCGGGAGGCACAGGCAGGGGAGCCCGAGGGTGCGAGGACCTCTGGCGTTAGGACTTCGTAATGAACAGGGGTCTGGATGGTGTCGGGATAGCTGGAAGGACTGTGACCCAATGCATCCTGCTCATCCTTTCAGGAGATCTGCGGTGGGCTGGGGACTCGCCCTCGGGGACCCACGCTTGGGTGTCTGTCGCCTTGTGTGACCTCCTGAGTCAGACGGCAGGGGGCGCCCAAGGCCTCCTAACAGGAACCTCTCCTGCGCACGCCCTGGGCTCCCTTGGCTTGCTCCTCCGCCACACAACCCCCTGGTTCAGGGGAGCTCAGAGGACAGAGGGCTCCCAAGCCAGCCACCTTGCTTGCTCCCCCGCCTCTCAAACACTGTCCGCAGAGGCCGACGCCAACCCCTCTCTCTGCCTGGAGGCCGACCTTTGTCCACTGTGTCCACCAAGGCCCATGTTGTGCAAGCAGAACTTCTCATTACAGGCAGGTGGGACCTCTGGAGGCCTCCAATGCGTCCATGGGGAGAGCCCTGTGCAGGGCAGGGGCAGGGGCTGGGGGAGCGGGAGACCGGGGTATCCTACCTCTGGAGACTGGGGGCTGAAATTCTGGCTACTGACCAGCTCTGCAGGTGGTTCTGAGGTTCAGTCAGGGTTAAGAACCTTTGTTTTACACAGTGGCTCCCACAGCCTGGCCTGAACCTGCCTAGTGCCCTTGGAGACATGCCAGCTAAGCAGAGTCCCAGGCCTGGCCCCGAGCTCTGAGGCAGGACTCAGAGAGGTGGAGCCCAGCCGTATGCATGCTAACAGGTGCCTGTCAGGCGATTCCCACACTGCCCAGGCCGAGAACCTACCCATGCCTCGAGGGGGGTCAGCAGGACGGGCATCTCTCAGGAGCTTGTAGGGAATGCAGATTCCCAGGCTCTCCCCCAGCCTGCTGAATCAGAACCTGCATTTAACAGGATCCCTCGGCAAGCTGTAGGTCATGTGAGGACCGCTGCTCTAGGGATCCCACTGAACCACAGCAATATGCCAGTACTCCGCTGGTTGTGTGGAGCCCTAGTGAGCAGCATGGTGGCAGGGCTGCTAGGGAGGGGGGAAGGCGCCTTCGTCCAGAGGGCAGAGGAGTCAGATCAAAGTGGGATTCTCCAGGTGGGGCCCTCTAGGTGGGTCTCTCCAAGTGGGTCCAGGAAAGGTCTGTGTACAGGCCAGCAAAGAAGAGTGGCTCGAAGGACTCAGGGGGAGAGAAAAGGGGTGGGGGTGGACATGGGGGTTGCCACGAGGTTGTGGAAGTCCTGAGTGGTTGACCCACGACAGCGGGTCAGAACTATTAGTGGTGGTTTTCAAAGTTTCCCCCCTTACATGAGAGTAATACATTAAGGAAAATCCGTATATCCAGAAAGAAGAAAAAAAAAACACACCCATAGTTCTACTATTAATGCTCATTACTTGTAGATTTTTTCTAGGTAGTTTTTTTCCCCCCTAGATTTTATTTATTTATTTGAGAGAGAGGGAGCAAAGAGGGAGCAGAAAAGAGCACAGAGGGAGAGGAAGAGAACACAGAGGGAGAGGGAGAAGCAGACTCCCCGCTGAGCAGAGAGCCCCACACGTGATCCCAGGACCCTGGGACCACGACCTGACCTGAAGGCAGATGCTTAGTCTAGATAGGTTTTTTTTTTTTTTTTAATTAAGAAAATGGTTACAAAAATACAGTACATGTGATTTTATTTCCTTTTTCCTAACATCGTAGGAATGATTGATTGCACATTGTCTTGAGACATGAACTGCCGGTCATGGACAGTGGGCCACTGCCCTCTGGTGCTGCGATGGACAGCAGCACATCTGTCCAGCCCTCACTGCCCTCCACGCGCTGTCCAGCTCTGTGAGGCTGCCGCCAAACATGGAGGTCTCAGCCCTCACAGACACTCTGGCCACGTGGTTCCCACTCGCCCGCCCACCTTCACGTCCTCAGCCCTCCCACACTATATCAATTCTGGCTCTACAATAAGCCCCATGTCCCCCAGCACCCCCAGGGGCTATGTTGAGCAGAATGTGGGAGCCAGGAGAGAGCCCGGGGGCTGACTTTCAGGATGGAATCGGGAATTGGTCCTCAGGCCTGCCAAGGTGCCGTCTGCTGTGTGGTCCATGGAGCCCAGGGGCTGCCGGAGGCCAGGTTCCTGGTGACCAGGTAGCTGATGCCACAGACCACTTAGTGGGAATAAACAGTAAGGGTTGTGGGGTTGGTTGGTCGTTCCTAAGTGACCCGGTGAATGTGGGAAAACAAAATGATGAGTGCAGAACTTAAAATTCCCAGCTCAGGCGGCAGATAAAAAACCAAACCTTCTGTATTGTGCAGAAGAGGGTCAAGGAGCAGGCCCCATTGCCCTCCTGGGGGGCCCTCGGCAGGAGTTCCTGGCAGAGTTCCCGGCACCCTTGTGCATGAGAGGACCTCGCTGCCCACACAGCTCTGTGCATCGTGGTTCATGCTAAGCACCCGTTTCCTCTTGGGTACCCTGAATCGTTAGCAGGTGGGGGTGCCCCTGTGCCCCCGATAAAAACCCTGGGTGCTGCGTCTCTCACAGACTCTCCTGAAGACAGCACCTCATAGGTCATCACACCTGTTGGTGGCCTGTGTGACTCCAGGGGAAGGGCCCTGGAAGCTCACCCCTGGCCCCCCGACTTCTCCCTTCCTGTGCGTTGGACCGTTTCTCTGTTGCGAATCCCAGCTGGGAGCACAGCCTCTGCTGAGTCTGGAGGGCCCTAGTAAGTCACCCTCTAGGTGATTCTGGGGACCCTGACCCTAAAAGAATTCATTATCTCTTGCAGATGCAGAGTCCAGATTTCTGAATATAAAACCCAAGGGCTAATTGGGTGAGTGGTTGCATCAGAAGGCACGTTGAATTTCTGGTATCTTGAGCTATTTGTTGTGAAGGGTAAGGTATTGTTGGGCAAGAAGGGGTCTCGTCCCTCCGATGGGGACATGTGGGGAGATTCTGAAGAAGGTGGGGAACTGAGACCCTAAATTCTGATGAGCATCTTTTGCCCGGAGAAGCCCCCTCCCTCTCCCCTCGGATGGGTTGGTCCCCCTTCCTGGAGAACCTGCAGTTGCCCCCAAAGTAGTTGTCTTGGGGGCTGCTGATTCTCCTCTGGACCCATCCCAACCCGCGACTCTGTTTCCAGGTCTGTGAGCAGACCCTGAGGCTCAGAAGTGACTTAGGGGCGCCTGGGTGGTTCAGTGGGTTAAAGCCTCTGCCTTCGGCTCAGGTCATGATCCCAGGGCCCTGGGATCGAGCCCCGCATTGGGCTCTCTGCTCCGTGGAGAGCCTGCTTCCTCCTCTCTCTCTCTGCCTGCCTCTCTGCCTGCTTGTGATCTTTCTCTGTCAAATAAATAAATAAAATGTTTAAAAAAAAAAAAAAAAAAGAGGTGACTTAGAAGGTGAGGCAGGCAGCATGTGTCCAGGAGGCTCCGCCTGTGACCGCTGGTGTCACCCGAAGCCCAGGAAACATATTGGGGTGGCTCAGGTGGAGATGATAGGACGTGCCGGCCTGGGGCCCCTCAGCAGAGCCTCTGGATTCACAGGGTGACGAGAAGTGGCTCTAACCATCTGTGTTTGTGCAAAACGTGCCCACGCACGACACTGAGATGCCAGCCCTTTCAGTCCTGGTCCGGGTAGGTGCCCAAAGGCTTGGGGAGACCAGGTGTGTGTTGTTTGGGTTTGTCACATAAGACCTGCTCTCCGCCACCCGGCCCACCAGCCAGATGACATGCCGCACACTACAGCTGTGTGGATTCCGTGGGTAGGGCCATGCGGCATGGCTGCTATCTTTGGGCTTAATCAGAGCTGACACACAGAGCCCCTAGGTGTTGCCCACAGCATCCCTGAGGCTGGGACAGCTGCCTTCCTGACGACAGGCTTAATCACTGTGCACAAGTAGGGATGCTCTGGTCTGCAGGTGTGCCGTGGGGTCAGACACCCTCACTTCCTGCGTGGCCTCTGCCTGACAGTGTCCTGTCGGCAGGGGTGCTGATCTGTGGCCGCTCATGGCTCCCCAAGCCCCCCCAACCCCACCCCATTCAGCTCTGCAACTACCTTATTCCTGTAAGGGGGCAATGTCAGACTTAAAATGTCTTTCTCTCCCAGTGGAGAGGAAATTGCATTTATTTCCAGCCCCGGTGTTGAGCGCAGTCCTAAAAATCCCAGCTGTGGCCTGTGCAGAGATGATTTCCTCCCAGTTTGCTCCCTGGATCAGATTCCTGCGACTGGATGCTCGCGATCCTGCCGCCAGCAAGGCCACAGAAGCCCTCAGTCCTCCGCCCCGGGGATGAAATATTCAGTTTGGCAGCTCAGGAAGGTGACGTCTGCCTCCTTGCCCCCCGGCCTTTTATAAAGAGGAGCCTGCGGGGCCGGGAGCAGAGGCCCATCCCAGCGACAGCTGAGCACCCAGAGTTCCTGGAAGCCTCCCGAGGGGCAGACCAGGGGTCCCTGCCTCCCATCCCACAGGTGAAACTGGGACCGCCATGGAAACTCTGGGAGCTTATCTGTTTGCCAGAGCCATTTTCCAGGGAGTTCCCCGAGCTGGGGGTGGCAGGAAGAAGCTGGGACCCTGATAGGCTTCTGGTCCCACCCCCTGGGTCCCTCCTGCTACAGGTGGACAGGAGCTTCCTCAGCTGGTGGAGGGCTGTGCCTGGGGGAGATGAAAGCCTGCTGGGTGCCAGGGGTGACCCTCTGCCTCCTGCTGGGATCTCTGGTGGGTGAGTGGTGGCTTTGTCCCTCCTGCTGTCTCCCTGGCTGCTTAGGCAGCTGGGGTGCGGGGGTGAGCGGGGGTCCTGTCCTGGGGGGCTCTGCGGAGTGACAGCCCTCATCTTCCTCTGTAGGGGCCAAGCCGGTGCAGGAGGAAGGAGGTATTGTATCACCCCCTTGTTCTTTTCTTGTGTGTGTTTGGGTGGGATGGGGTCGTAAGAGAGAGCCGGGAGGGAGCTGGCTTATCCTGAGCAAACGGAGCAGGAGCCCTGGGTCAGCTTTAAGGACAAGCTGTGCAAGCAGAGGGACCCGAGGCTCTTCTCTGGGCCCTGTACCCCAGCCACCTGGGGACGCACACGCTCGGAGCCCCTGAGGCTTGGCAGTGTCATCCTCTACCTGGGACTCACCCTGTGGCTCTTCCCCGGAGTCGGACCACAGTGCAGTGGCATCTGAACTCTGGGGCTGAGGGCTGTGGTCTCCTCTGCAGTCCCACCAGGACGTCCCCACACCCTCACCATGGTGTTCCTTCCCTGCCCAGCGTCTCCAGGACAGGGGCCAGATACCACCCCCCCTCCTCCTCTCCCTTCTTCTCCTCTCCCTGAGCTGTCCCTGCAGACCAGGAGTCGCAAGAGGCAGACGCAGGTCATCATCCAGATGACAAGGTTTCGGGATACTTCCACGGAGGACCCAGGGGTGGCCCAGCTCCCAGCTGCTAGCTGGGGGGCCCCTTCACTGCCATGGCACTGCTGGGCACCAACCATCTGCCCTAAGGTATCCCAGAAGGGCAGCCTCAGGGCAGGACAGGTGGGGACAGTCCCTGAGGCAGGTGGTGGTGTTTTTCAGACCCCTATGCTGAGCTGCCCGCCATGCCCTACTGGCCTTTCTCCACCTCTGACTTCTGGAACTACGTGCAATACTTCCAGACGCTGGGGGCCTACCCCCAGCTGGAGGATATGGCCCGCACCTTCTTCGCTCACTTCCCCCTGGGGACCACGCTGGGCTTCCATGTCCCCTACCAGCAGGACTGAGTTGCACCCTGTATCCCTAGCCTCATGGTAATAAATTCCTGACTTAAGACACTCAAATGCTTCTGGTTTTCTTTCAAGAAACGGCCCCAGTCAGGCCATGTTTCCTTTCCTATTTGACAAATGAATCACAGCTCTCACTCAGGACTCTGCTGTACGTGTCATCCTCTTACCTAAACTCACAGCCCCTCGGAGGGGTGCTGCAGGGCCTCTGGAGTTGCTGCAGGGCCCCTGGAGTGCAGGGGAGAAACTGAGGCAAACACACACCAGGGCACTGCCTGACTTATTGATAGGGACCCAGATCCAGGCAGCCACACCCCAAAGCCCCTGCCCTTGATCACGGAGGCCGACAGCAGCCAGACCCCCGCGGCCACCCCTGGGTTGGGGGCCCTGCCTGTCCCCCCAGGACACCAGGACAGCAGGAGCTTAGCCTTTGAGGAAGGTCCAGGGCCTGGGTGCTCTCTGTCTGTAAGGGGAAGGCCCTCAAAACCTGGACGCCAGCACAGCAGGTCAGGGGCTGCGGGAGGAATGGGGCTACCTGCCCTGGGTGCTCTGGAGGGAGGGAAGGACCGGCAGGACATTTGCATGGTGTCTCTGGGACCATCCTCTGCACTGGGCACACTGCTCTGCAGGTGGAGCCCCTCGGGCAGGCATACAAGCGTACAAGCCATAGACCCTGCCGGTCACCTCCCATGAGGTGAGAAGAAATTGCTCTAATGAGCTACAACCAGCTTTTCTTTTGCAATAAAATAATGAGAAACACTGTGTATTTAAATGTAGATGGGGAGGCAACTCTCCTGGGACAGAGCACAGCCACCCAGATGGGTGCAGAGGGTGCTGGAAGGTGGGAGGTGCCCAGGGCAGCCTCCAGGGGCTGTCCCTCTCACTCCAGCCATGCCTCCTGCCCCAGGTGACACTCTGCAGGGGAGGCCTAGCCAATGGCTTTAGGAAAAGCCAATACCTTCTTCATCTCTTTCCCCACCTTGAGCTGGTATGAATTTGGTTTCTGTAAATTAAGAGATAGCCATGTGAGAGGATGAGTCTCTCAGTTCTCAGGGGACAACTGGACTCGACCGAACATAACAGACAAGACATGCCTTACAGCAGGATTTCTGTGTTTTTTGTTAACATGTCAGTTCGCGTGTGTGCACAGTCATATTCCCCTCGGATGGTCACACAGCCAGTTAGTGCGCGCATTAAGGAGCCACGACCCAAGCCCCTCTCCGCAGCGGCTCCGGAGTAGCCAAATCCAGGCTCCCTCTGGGGAAGAGCATATGGTGCCTGGCCAGCCGGACCCACTCCTCAGTCTCTGGCCTCAGCAGCCCATAGCTGCCTCGGGACGCCCATTTGCATTTACGTTCCTAAGGTGCCTCACTTTTGTCCTCTTCTCAGAGGAAGAAGCCCCACCAGGAGCCATCCTCAGCTGGCTCCCCACCTGCTGAGCTCCCAGCCCCGTGGTCGGGACTCCCATCTGGCTGGCTGCTGCCCTCCCTGCTCAGCTCAGCATCCAACAGGCTCAGTTCTCCTCTATGCACCTCCTCCCGACCCCTCTCCCCATTGCAGGCAGACCTCATGGGGGACCCTCCACTTCCTGCCCGGTGCCCTCAGCCCCTCAACCCCAATGTTGCAGCACTGAGCTCCTCACCAGAAGCAAGCATCACCCATGGCCACTGTCTTCTCATTCCTGCCTCGGTGGCTGGGAAGCCACCCCCCCATTTTGAAACCACTCAGAAGAGAAGCCTGTTGGTGGCCAAGGGGTCATGGCTTCTCCGGTCGGACTTGCTCTCCAGACTTCAAGGTGATTTGTGTCACCGTGACACCTGAGGCTCAGCCACACTCCAGCCTCTCCTCCCCTCTCCCTGAGCCCTGCACTGCCCACATGGGTCACTGTCCACTGCCAGTCTGGGCTCATTCCCTATCTCCCTGCCTTGTCCTCCCATCCCTGCTTCGCTCGTAGCCAAGCCCCCAGGCCTACCTAGTTCCAAAAGTCTAGCTCAAGTATCTCACACTCTCCTTTCCTCACTCCCCTCTCCTTCCTTTCCACTCCCTCCTATCCTCTTCTCTCATTCACATACATTTAAAAAATTATAATAAAATACATATAACATAAAATTTACCACTGTAACTGTTTCTAGGTGGCACTAACCACATTCACCCTGTCATGCACCAATCACCACCACCCACCTCTAGAACCTTCCATCTTCCCCAACTGAATCTCTGTCCCCATGAAACACTGACTCCCCATCCCTCCCCATCCCTCCCCAGCCCCCGGTGCCCACCCTTCTGCTGTCTGTCTCTGTGACTCTGACAACTATAGGTACCTCGTGTCAGTGGAGTCATGCAAGATTTGTGTGACAGCTTATTTCCCTCAGCATAATGTTTTCACGCCTCATTCATGTTGTAGCATCTGCCCTTTTACGGCTGGATAGTATTCCATTTTATGTACATACAGTACACAGCTCACTCATCTGTTCAGCTGTCAAAGAACACAGGGTGCCTCCACCCTTTAGCTCTTGGGGGTAGCGGTGCTCTGAACATGGGGTCCAATGTTTCACGAAGACCCCGTTTCCACTTCCTCTGGGTGTGTACCCAGATGGCATTGCGGGATCTTAGGGTAGCTCTGTGTTTAATTTTTGAGGCACCCCCATGCTGTTCTCCACATTCCCACCAGCAGTGTGCAAGTGTCTCTATTTCCCCTCATCCTTTCCAGCACTTGTTATCCTTGGGGTTTTTAAAATAGCACCTGTTCTAGGGAGTGTGAAGTGGTTTTGACTGCATTTCCCTAATGCTTAGTGGCGCTGAGCACGTTTTCATGGGCTTCTTGGCCATTCGTCTATCTACTCCAAAAAAAGGTGTATTTAAGTTACTTGCCTTGGACTGGGATTTGTTGTGGTTGAGTTTAGGAGTTCTCTCTATATTCTGGAGAGTAACCCTTTACGGAGTGTGTACATACATGTACCCATGTGTGTAATTTGCAAATATTTCTTGCGACTGCGCGGGTTGCCTTTTTACTCTGCGGACCATTCACATTCTCTTCTGTGAAGCAGAGCTGACCTACAATATCATGTAAGTTTCTGGTGTGCAACACGGCGGTTTGACAATTGCACACCATCTGTCCCCGTGAAAAGCTATTGTAATGTCATCGGCTGTAGTCCCCAGGCTGTACTTTTCATCCCCAGACTATCTTATTTTATTTTATTTTAATATTTTTTTCGGAGACTTTCACTTTATGGCTCGAAGTCTGTACCTCCCGATCCCCCTCTCCTGTGTGGCCTGGCCCCCACCCAGCTGCGGCGGCAACCACCAGGCTCTTTCCGACTCCGCATATTCTGTAAAAGCCATCTCTTGCGCTGCTCTGCGTGCCAGGCCGTTCGGGCCGAGCTGTCTGTGGCCGCAGGTCACCCCCGAGTCCCCGCGCAGCCTCCCCCGCCCGGCTGTCAGGAGAACCGGAGCCGCCCGGCTCTGGGTGCCAGGAGAACCATAGAGTTGACCGTCCTCGGGCGTCTAGAGGCGCCACGGCCGGGCGTGCACCGGAAGGGGCGTCAGGCCGGCCGGAAGTGGGCCGGGGATGCAGGAGGCGCGGCGGAAGAGATGAAGCCGGCGGTGGACGAGATGTTCCCCGAGGGCGCCGGGCCCTACGTGGACCTGGACGAGGTGAGGCGGCCCGGGGCGGGCGGGGGATGGCGGTTGGCAGGCCTGTGCTCGGCGGCGCGAGGGTGGGCCCTGCGGCGACGGCGGGCTGCGAGCGCGGGCGTGGTCCCCGGCTTGGGGACCCCGGGAGGGAGCTCGGGGCTGTGCGCTCGCACGGGGACCTGGGCTTTGGCGCTGGTGCCCGGTGGGCAGATGTCTGCCTGCTTCGTGGACGTGGGGTGTTGCGGCCGACGCTGGTGTTCCGTGAGCTGGTGACCCCAGCCCCGGGTGTCGGGTCCGCTGCCCGCCGCAGGGCCTCGTTTCTCTCTCGGGAAGCTCAGGGGGCAGACCTTGTCTCTGCGCCGGGAGATTTCCGTACGGCAGCGAGAGGCGGGTGGCGGTACCGAGTGCGCAGAAAGCCAGAGGTGTCGGATAGGAGCGCGCCCTCCCGGCTCGGGGCGGCCCAGCGCAGGCTGCCCACGAGGCGATGGTGCAGGGCCTGCTGGTGTTGGCGGACGGGGCAGGCTGCAGGAGGAGGGCCTGGAAGGAGCCAGTCCTGAAGGCAGGGCCGGCCCCGCCCCGCATCTTAACACCGGCCGCGAGGTGCCCGAGCCTGGGGGGAGACGGCCGCTGGAAGAGGTGGCTTGGCGGAGCATGAAGCGGCCCGTAGCTGTGCCGGGACAGGCGGGCTCTGCACCCCACTGATGAAGCAGGAGACCCCGGTTTCTCCCTGGGTCCTCCGACGGCCTTGTGCGGAATCACCAGAGGGCACCGTGAGGGGGGTGAAAGGCTTCCGGGCAGGTCGCTGTGGAGACTTTGGGATTGGGTTTGGAGGCAAGAGAGTGGAAGACTGCTCACAGGAGCCTTGTGGAGGGTCCGAATGAAGGCAGCACCTACGGGCGGAAGTAGGCACGGACTGGACGTGGTAGCGAGTGGTGGTGGTAGCGCGGCTTGCTGTGGTAACAGGAAGGGAGGCAGGTTGAGAAGAGAAGAGAGGAGTCCGAGAATCCTGGGCTTTTCTCTTGGGCTTGGGTTACTGCGAGCAGCCATGAAAAGGAACATGGGAGACGCCAGCTACTCCAGAGCCAGGAAAGGTCAGAGCAGGCAGCCTTGGAAGGTCGGGGTCAAGGCAGCAGCAAGGACCTCTGCTCTGACCATCCCTGTGTGACTCTTACAGACACCCCAAATCTGGAATGGGTCAGATTGCCCGAGTTTGCTTGTGCCATGGTCTTACTGCCACCATAAGCTGTGGCAGTGGGGGTGCTGTGATGGCACTCCCAACCAGAACCCCAGGCCAGGAGGTCAGTTTCCCATGGAAATGCTTGTTCTCCGAAGAAGCAGAGGGCCATCCAGGGGAGAGAAATCCTTAGCCC